CGGAACTGAAGAACTCTCCTTCTTGGCTCCTTGCTTCTTCTTTCCATTCTCTGGAGAGGGTTTAGAGGAAGATGCCTCAGCTAAGTTGGCCTCCACAATAGTTGACCCCTTGATTATTCGCTCAAACTTTTGGAGTTCTTACATCAACTCTGTCAGGTTATATTCTGTTTAGCGCTCAAATTGAACGTTGCCCTAAACAGAATATACTCATTTGAAAGTTTCAAAGATCATGGTCAATTGAGACTCAGCATCGATGTCGGCCCTATTGGTATGAGCGTCAGTTAAATGGCCCATCACCTTCAGCATATGTTCCTTTATGAAAGACCCAGCCTTTTGTCTGTAATTAATGAGATTACTTAGGGCTTCCTGACGTTTTTCAGTGGCTTGGTAGCTGAACATGTCCTCAAAATTATCCATAATCTGACGAGCAGTTATGTAATCTTCATGTTGTGCTTGTAGCACAGTGGACATGCTCGTTATCATATAACAGCGGGCCATATCGTCAGAGTCCTTCCAGCGTTGATATGCTAGGAAAACCTCATTAGGAGCATCAACAGGTGGCTCCGGAGGACAAGGTGTATTCAGTACGAAATTCAGTTTCTCAAAGGTTAGGACGATTTTTAGGTTCCTTTTCCAATCGGCAAAATTCTCTCCAGTTAAAGTGTGTTTATTAAGTATCGATGATAATGCGCTGGCAAACATTTTGATCTACAATAAACATTCATATATCTAGTATAAGTAAACTTGCATAAATATTTAGTAATCAAACATATATACATATTATAATGCAACCAATATGTTTGTGTGTCAAAACCTTGAAAAAATCACAATCTTACAACGATAATTCCCAACTCAAAATTTTGTAAGTCTCCTAAGGGAGATCATGCAATATCTAATTGGAAACACAGATCCCCTCCGATCAATATATACCATCCGGATCAATCTTTGTCTAATACATATTGATAATCATTTTCTTTGACCATTAATTTAATTAATAGAGCTCCTATGAGAGATTAATAATTAAATTAATCTTGAGTGTATAACCATCGTTTCAACTATTTGATCCATATTTTATAATTGTCAACTAGGGATGTATAACCATAAAATATGTTCAAATAAATTATCCTTTCAAAGATCTACACCGGTACATAATGAATCCCTTCCTAGTTGTCAGTATCACCATGTGTTACCTGTGGACCAACGATGGAGGTCATGGGACTTTTCTTCAAAAACCCTCACCCACTTAATCTTTTGGAAACAAGCTTTT